CCCCCCCCCCCCCCTCCCATTTTGCCCCATAGCAGCTTCCTGTAAGTACGAGCTGCAGTGAAACGTCAGTAATTTGTAATTTCATGCATGGACTGCATTTCAGCTTAATTGAGTCAGTGATTGTTTGTATTAATACTATAAATATATGAATGGGTTGGCATGTGGACGGTGACATTTTGGCAGCATAATTCTAACTGTGAAGGTAGTTTTGTCCTTGGCATGGGATTTCACTCAACTTGCTGTTCTTTGAGTTAATGGCTGTGGTGGGCAGAACTAAATAAACTAACAAATCATACGATAGTTGTATTATTGGTCTTTGGTTTCATGCAAGCAACCTGATCATATAGATGTAAAGTTACCTTAAAGTGTTAACATGATGATCTTCATGCGGTCGTCATCATCCCGATCCCTTTATATTTTTCTTGCCTCGTGAACATATTTTGTCCCTAACAATGTACGCCATGTAACCAATTAGTATTTGTAAACTGTAATCATCTTCATTGATGCTTGTTAATATAATATTCTCCCTCCGTTTCACATCTCTTAAGTTAATTTGCTCTTTTTTTGTTTGTGTACAAAGTCCTCTCTCGTTGCCATTTTCCCTCTCTTGCCACCTGTCCATGACTTCTCTTTGTCTTTTCTCTCCGGCTCACAGAGAAGCTGATTGAGGGACTGAAGTCCCCTGAACCTTCTCTGCTGCTCCCCGACCTCTTGACCCCAGCCAACCCTTTCAGTAGTGCTGCAGAGAGCTCTGCCAATGGTACGAGCTCCGTTTTTGTCCCCTGCATTGCTCTAAAATCCCCGGTCTGCTCTGCATGCGTCTTCCTTGCCTTCCCTGCTAAGGCAATCGTGTTTTCTTTTACAATACTTGCAGTGTCTTTAAACTACTGTCTTTTCCACTTGCTGTCTCCATGTAGTGAAGGCAGAGATGTGTGTGGATTCACTGATTCCTGGTCTGGAAGCCCCCCAGGCCCAGCAACTCTTAGGCCAGCCAGAGCTCATCCCTCCCAGCATGCCAGGTTAGCGTCCTGGACCACAGAATATCTTCACATTGTTCTCTGCAGCATTTACACCAAGGATTCATTGTTCCAGTCGTGGTCATGATCCCCTTTGTTACTTGTTGACATCATTTCAACCGCAAACTAATTTATCATTGAGGAGCACCGTTGTGGCAGATCACACTGTCCTGGCAACAACATATCAGTTTGGCCTGTCGCTCTTTTAAGATAGCAGCTCACTTCAGTGACTGGAACAGTTGCTTCATTGAGTTTGTTTAGGGTGTTAAGCGATCTATTCAGTGAAAAAATGTAACAGATTTTTCTTCATCGAGGCTAATCTTACTGATAAAACCTATTCACAGTCTTCTGCAATGATTGATGTTAGCTGTGGCAAGCATGTCGGTTTTGGGTTCGTAGCTACTGCTGAGTGTTAGTGTTGCTCCTGCTCCAGACTTTGCAGCTTATTTTTTATGGGATTATTATGATTATATGCTTTCAGAGATTAGTCGCTGCCTTACTAACAAAAAGCATTTTCCTCTGCACTAACAATCTTGTTTTTACTCTGACCCTTTGCTCCCTTTGGCTTTGCTCCATCCTGTCTCAGACTCTCTCACTGGGGAGGACTCTCTGCTGGGTTGCGATCTTCTATCTCATACTTGTCCTCATGGAAACCAGTCTGTTTCTGCTCTCCCTCCTTCCTCCTCCTGCTCCTCCTGCTCCGCTGCTCATCCTGGCTCCGGCTCTGGATCCTGTCTGGAGGAGCTGCTGCCTGGTCAGACAGCTTCTGGTAAGACCTCTTTGCAGCCACCCCTCAGCTAGCCTTAATGTCTGCTGGGCTCTCTGGCCCGTGAAACCAATCACAGACTTCAGATCCTTCCAACAACAGGAGGGCCTGTTCAAGTGTGATGTGGAAATTGAATTAGGCACACTAAATGACAGCTTCACGGACCCCTTGACTCATTTGTAGACGAGCCAAAAGCCACCTGAAATGCACGGCTTTTAAATACGGTGACTGCCCTGGCTCCATCTATTTTTAATCTACTTGCATCCTACTTTCTTTTTGCTCTTTCCTTTGGCTGAGTTAACTTCTCCCCCCCTCCCCCCCCCTCCATCATTCCTTCACTTCCTCTACCTTCACCGCAGACTCTGCTTTCCTCATGTCGTGTGGGGAGAAGGGCAATGAAGACGAGTTTGACCCTATTCCTGTGCTCATCTCCAAAAACTCAAATCAAGGTAAGGTTAACAGAATCCCGAGATGAGCACTCACAACTGCGGAAGCCCGGGCTATGAGCCAAATAAGATGAATGCCTTAGACCCTAGTTCAGTTCCATAGCTCCTTCCTGTGACTGCTGATGCGAAGTCTTGTATGGGTGTGCTTGTCACATTAAGGCTTTTTAATCCCATCAAGCTCTCACATTAGTCGTCTTCCTCTCTTTTGTTTCTAATGTTATACTGCCAGTGATTCTCTGCCTTGCAGGTGTTTGGCTCTTTGTAGTTTATCTTGAAAGCCTCATGTTAGACTGGCATTCCCTTACTCTCCCCCTTTAATGATGCAGCTGTATGAAGATTACCCCCAGCTCACTCTCTGCCTGTTTCTCTTTCTGCCCCCGTTCATGCATCTCTCTGCTCTGCCATCATTTTCCCTTCATCAACTCCTCGCTCTTGATTTCTCCATACAACCTCTGTTAATATTACTTATTCTTTTGCTTGTTTTTCACAATCTCCTTCGGCTCTCCTTCCATCTCTGTCTCTGTCTCTCTCTCTTTCTGGCACCTTTCAGGTGGTCACTCGCGCAGCAACAGTGGCAGTTCAGAGTCCAGCATCCCCAACTTGGCCCGATCCCTTCTGCTGGTGGATCAGCTCATCGACCTCTAGAGGGGGTGGGGATGAAGGGGCAGTGTGCAATCCTAACAAAGGGATGAGGGGAGGGCGGGGGATAGAGTCGGGGAAGCCGAGGCACTTAATTGTAGCACCTTATGAGTTAAAAACGGGAGTCAGCATAGATTGGTTCAGTGGAACCTCTCTTTTTATGTGCCTCCTTGGCCTCAACTCCATCTCTAGTTGCCTGATAAGCTGGCTTCACTTATCTCTGCTGGCCGTTGACATTCCCACACTGGTAAAAAACAAGTCTTTTCATTAATGCCTGATCATATCGACCCGCTTCTGTCTTCCTCATGCTTTCCTCACACTCGCATTAATATCCCTCATTGAGCGCACTGTGCCGCGGTGATCGACTTTCATCACGTGCACACGCTAAACCACTTGATCACAGCCGCATCGTGTTCACTTTGTGTACTTGTTCGGGGTTGAAGCTTTATTTAAAAAAGCCACCTTCAGGCATGCTCATCTGTGTCAGGGGTCTGACTGAAGAGGGAGGAGTCAGAAATGCTGTCGACCTCCAGGATCATGTGATGCATTGAACTAAATTTATCGACCAATCAAAGACGCACCCAGAGTGAACTACTGAGAGCTATTTGCATTGATTGAACCAGTTTGTAAACAATGAAGACGCATTAGTCTTCTCTGTGGTGGTTTGCTGTTGAAGGAGACTCCTTTCAAACTGTCTGCACCATCTCAGCAAATATGTGCTAAAATTCCAATATCGATCAGTAACCAACAACTATTTATCTAAGCTAACAATGTATTCACAACTGCAGCTTCGGCATAACTGTAAATTGCCACCTTCTTTCTGGCTGATTAATCGCAAGCAATCGCAGGATGCTTTTTTTTCTTCTTAAAACCAGTTTGTGTGCATTTTACAATTATTTTCACGAGTAGGGTCATGATATGGCCGTTATATCTTTGACCCATTGTCAACATAAGCACAGCAGAAACAAAAGGGAATCCAATGATTTGACCTGCAGCCATGCCAAAGCTCAAGGAAAGATTTTATTATTTGGTGTCGTGTTCATGTGTCTGTCTGCTCTCGGGGTCGATGGGGATGAGCAGGTGTTTTAGCAGCATAGACGGCGAGGTGCAATGTAGATTTCATTGAGTTATTTGCGTCGGTACTGTGCTGACAAATAAGCTTCATATGGAAATCTCCCTCTCCAATTGACATCCTCTCTATCTCGCCTATCCACTCTGTTCCCGCCACATACGTTGAGTTCATTTGGCCAATGCGTCATTCATTTCAGCCAGAGGAGAAATTCAAAAATGAAATCCTTTATATGTACATGAAATCACTGTTCATCTTTGCTCTTGTCAGCACTGGTAAAAGTAGAATTTTTATTTTTTTTTAGTGTGTAATATTTCAAGGCATTTCATCTATCATGGTCTGAATAAATGTGGCTATTATTTATGGCGCTTTAGAATGAATGTATGATCCGAGTACCATTATGAAATATGTACAATTTACAAGGATATATAGATCAAAAAAAATATTTGTATATGAAGCTGTATTTAAGAGTGCAAAGATGTTGACCCTCTGTGTTTTCTCTCCATTCATGTCAAGCAGTCAGCTCGTGCTTTTGTTTTAGAAGTCATCGATACAAATGTGCTCATGTACTCTATATCTCTCCACAGCAGTCCTATACATAATACTGGTACTCGTACGTTACTGTATATTACTGGGAGAGACTTTATCTAACGGACAGCAACACAGAGCTGACGGAGCTGACGGAGCTAACGTCCCGATATCTCTGTGGCGCCTCTGATAACCGTTCTGTTATTTGGCTGATGAGCTTAAGAAAGACGTGTGTGACTTGGCAAACAGCTGTAGGCCTACAAGTTGTTTGACATCTGATCACAATCACTACAACTGACTTTGCAAGTAATATCTTTCATTTTGGCTTTTCTCCAGCCAAGGAAGGTCCATTGCGTAGTCTTAAGTCTCTTTGTCGGGCCCATATCACCCTTTAGATATGTACAGTTCTCCCGGTATGCCATCGCTGGAGGTTTGGGTCCTAAATAGTTTTCTCCTCCTCCTGCCCCAGTATTACATATTGTAAAGGTTAGTCGTAGACATCAACAATACTGTTAGAATCGGCATGGGTAAATAAATACAACTATGATTTTTGTCTTTCCATCGAATGTTTTCCAGTTAAGTCGTTTGCATTTTTGTGGCTAATCTATGCAATCCTACAATACCGCTTCATGTTCTTATCAGACACCACAGTGCTGTACCCTGTAGAGTTCTCTCCTCCGCCGTAGAGTTTGACTTGTGTTGCTGTGTGAAAACCGATGTACTTGTTGTGCTGGTTGGGTTGATTATGGTGCCGGGTATAGAAATTACTTTGATTATATCAAAAATGTTTGACATGATTTGGCAGACGTCCATATGTCAAAGCAGGACCGTTGTGGAGTGTGGACTTCTATTTTTATGAATTAAGGTTCAGAATGAGAAACGATGAATAAAACCCATTATTGTGAATGTAAAGTGTCACATTATTTTTACTCTGAATAGCAAAGTAGCACGCTGCCGTTATTGACAGTCTGAGGATTGATTCTTCCATTTTTGTAGTTTTAATTAGCAGAAACATTTTATTTTTTCCTTCTGGGAAGCAAATTAGATTGTAGATACTCTGATCTAACTTGATGGTACCCACTAAGGCCTTTTCAGATTTCAGGATTTAACCGTTGTTTGCACCTCTTAGTAAAAGCATTATCAGATTTAAAGGACTATTCCAGTGCTTTGTATGCTTTGTGTCCTCTTCCTCTTCCATGGCACCCCGTCAAATCTTAGTTGTTCTACGCCTGCATTTTAAAATCGCATCACCGTTCACTGCTGTCGTGAATCCAGGCCAGAAACTCTGATAAAGGGCTTTATGGTTCCTGGTACGTGTTCCTCTTTGTTAGATGTTACCATAGATGGACTGCAGGGCCTTGATGGCTGTTATTCCACGATGTTATTCAATGATTAGCAGTCTCGCTGTTAGTTGTTGTTTGAGTCGTCGGCTGTGACCAGTGATCTGTAGATAACGTTTCAGTTTGATTTACTCCGGTTCAAATCATGTAGACAAAGTGTACAACATGTGAAATGGGCCGTGGACAGTTTTTAAAAAAAAACAAGACGAGTGATGAAGGAAATTACCCAAGACCTGAAACAAATCAAAAACTCTCTTTTAATGGCTGCAACTAACATCTGCCCAAGAGCTGCCAGTTAACAGCTGCTGTCGACACTGCTGAGGTAAGACTGTCTCTGCTCATCTGTGCAAACCTGTCTGTCCCTAATTCCCTCTACTGATGCTGTGAACGCTCTGTGTCCTTGTTTCCACAGACCTATTAGCTCCCTCTACCTCAACACAATCAATTCTAACTAAAAGCCAAACCGCTGCTTCCCCTAACATGAGGCACTGTTTTTGAAGGTTGAGGCTATACTGCAGCTGTGCTGAAACTAATTTGTGGAAACAAGGTTATTTGATGTTGTAATGGTAGAGCTGGCCAGTCTTGTCTGTCAGATGTGACCTGTTCAGAGTAGACTGTGTCTGTATTTGTCATAGTCCTGTGCTGGTTTCTCACTGTTGGGTCGTTATTATTGATTCTTCAGTGGTTACAGGTGATCCATCGGTCGTATAGTATGTTGTTTGATAGTGTGGTAGATTAATGAGCAGCTGGACCTCAGGTGGTAAAGTTTGTTGCTACTGACAATATTTATACTTTCTAATGTTTTGTTGTTTTTTTTTTGTTCACCTCTGATATGTTTTTCTCTATCTCTGCTCTCTAATTCAGATGTTCAAGGGCAGAGTAATGGCTACTCTGTGCTTGGAGAGGGACGGGAGACCGAACCTCCAGAGGGAGATCCTCAAGCAAACGAGGGATGTGTGCACTCCAGCGATGATGAGGAGGAAGAAGAAGAAGAAGCCCATAGAGAAGAGCAGCAGGATGAGGGAGCCATTGAGAGTCATGCAGCAGCACATGACTGCAGCGGCTCCAGACCTCTGCTGCTGGACTCTGAGGATGAAGAAGAGCAAGGAGCTGACTCAACCCTCCACTCATCACCGCACACCAGCGCAGGACCAACACAACCATCGACTAGCTTCCACCAACCTACTCCAGGCACCTTTGCTCACAATCACTCCCAGCATGTACACGAGCCAGCCAAAGGGGCGGATGTCGCCGCAGATGTTTTCTCAAAAGCCCCCTTTCGGAGTGCGCAAGAAGAAGCAGCCGATGTGTTTGCCAACGCTCCGTTCCCACGCGCCCCCCTTGCAGCGCCGCAGCCGTTTGATGTTTTCTCTCAGGCTCCCTTCGGGAAAAGAAAGGAGGCTTTAGGAGCTCAGCACTCGTATCCTCATGCCGCTGGAGTTCATGCTGCAACCCCTGATCAAGGTGTGTTGGGAGAAGTCGCCCAACAACCTTTCCGCCCACAGGCTCTGGCCAAATATTCCCGACACTTTGAGGGACCTGTGGCCGAGCAGCCCGTAGCCGCTCATCGAGTAGTGTCTAACGTGAGCAAGCAAGCTGCTGTGGCGGCATCCGTCCCTGTGGGACCTCTTCACTCATGGACCTCAGAAGTGAGCGCCGTAGACCCCTTCGTCTCTGCACCCTTTCACCTCAAGGCACCACAAGAAAAGCCCTGAACGCACACGCTCGGCGGTCAGGGCAGTGGGTATCGGGCACTCATCACTGAATTATGCAAACTACAACAGGTGCACTGCATGCTGTCACCAGCGCTGCAGCTGGACTGCAGGCCTGCATGGATCTCATTCATGGCTCCAGTTAGTGATAGTGCGAGGTCATCTTTACACTTGAATGCTAAAATGCTCTGAGTACAAAACAAAAAAACTGACATCATTCCCTGACTCCTAGTTGCTTTTTCCTGTCGCATCCTTTTACCTTTTGCATTGTCCTTAATCCTTTTGGTACGTACATCTACACAAAGACAACATGGTGGTCAAGCATTTGATTGTTTTATTGCCTACCTCAGTTACTTTTCGTGTCGGCTCTAAAACACCACACATTGAGGGAGTTTGATTTCCTGTATATTTGAGCTTTACTGTGAAACAATGAGCTGATGATGCCTCATTCCTCCATTGTGTTAGTTCTCAGCTTCAATCACAAGATCATAACTTCACAGAAGCTTTTGAGGAGGAAAAGACTCTGTAAAGATGTTTCAGAGGAATTTATTTGTAACCACATCAAGCCAGACATTTGCAAACAACCTTACAATCATGCCTTTCAAAGTCAATCGTTTTGGGCCCTTGGTCTCTAAGCTTGACAGATGCTGAATACTGATGCATAGACATTTTTTAGGGTAATATTTGTTGATATAACATGTTTTCATTTTCTCGTCATGTATTGTGTTTGTGGACCATGTCCTGTCTGATGAAAATGGAATATCAATGTTCATTCAATGTAATGTACGAACTGTGTTTTAATGTTAGGCATAGAAAATACATTATAGTAGTTCTTGTGTTAGATACATATGGAACACTTTCTTTGTCTCTACTTACTTTACAAGATATCTCTGAAGCCTTACACTTTTACAGTTCGTCCCTCCGACCACATCAGAATAATTCACCTTTGCCTTTTGTGCCCTCCTTTAAAACTGCTGCATTTACTTCATTTGATTGCACACACACACACATTCAGCACCAAATACTTGTGTACAACTTATTTTTGCTGTCTGCCGTATGCTAATGCACCAAGACTTTCATTCAACCCTAATGCATCTCTATAATAAGTCTCTGTAAACTCCAAGTGTGTACTAACTGTGTCTAACGTTTAGGAACAAACCGATGCTTTCCTGCAGTCACACAAATATCTACAGCACTTATGCATCGCAGTTCCAGTCAGGGATTGTAATAGTAGTATCTTGTAAGCGAGATCTTGAATGATGACTGACTGATGACATTCCTTTTGCATTTAATTCCATCGCCATTTGGGAATATGTTGTTGTCTTTGTGCTCTGTCTCTTTGGTTCCCATCATGGCACTTTTTAAGAGAGGGGATCCAATCTGCTTCAGCCCAAAGTTTAATTCATGTATTCTTCTGTTGCAATTTAAAATCCTCTGCTTTCTTTTCAAAATGTACAATCTTTTTTTTATAAATGGTCACTTTTCTCACCCAACTTGTATACATGAAGGTTGCACATAGTCGCTGACACAGAGTCGGGGTTCCCTAAGAATGTGTTTTGATTGTAATGGCTGTATAATGTATTTCAATCAGTGTGTCGGAAATCTTTGGACGATTCAACAACTGATGATACTGTTGGACAAAGAAAGCACTCAAAATACTTGTTGTGCTGCACAGCCTGCCTTTGAAACCTATGTAAGTCATAAAAAAAACTATTAAATGAATGTAAATCAAATCTTTGCAGTTTTTTGTGTTATTTATCATCTTAAAAACAGATGTGTATGTTGGCAAAAATAAGTACAAATACTTAAGTACTGTGCTTTAGTACAGGTTGAGGCACTTTTAATTTGAGTATTTCTATTATTCCACATTTCAGTGTTTAACGTTGTACTTTTATCCCATTTACCGTCCTCTGGAGATCTCAATTTGTACATACAAAGCATCTACTTGACCAACAATAAGATTAGAATGTTTACATATTGATGCAAGCAACAATAATAATCCAATATTATTTTGTAACGCGCACTGACTCGGAACCAAATCATACTTTAAGTACATTTGGCTGGTAATACTATTGTGCTTTTACTTTGAACTATAGGTATTATGCCACTTACAAACGCGCTGTGAAGGCTACTCTCCAATAGTGTCGATTCATGACATCATTAAGGCGAGATATTAGTATTATTACTTATATGTATGACAACGAACTTTTTTAGCGGTGTGAAATCGGTGTTATTTCACTAGAGGGCGGTAACACACAGACACACCGGATGTCTACCTCCATTAAATGTCGAGAAGAAGAGCGAACGCAGTGCTTTGGGTCTCATTTTCACAAAAACGACATTGTTTTTCAAACTATGCGGTAAGAATAAGTGATTGTCATCACAGAACGTGTAATAAAAATATGTTTGCAGTTGCGCAGATATGAAAACTGCCTAAGCTAAACGTTTATCTCGTTTATGTTACGAAAGCACGCGCCTTTTCATGCTAGCTAGCTAGCTAGCTTCTCACATGTTTTTATTACGAACCTCACTATCTGAATGGACTTCTGCGTGACGTGAACAGGTAACCCGCGCTGCGTTGCCCCGTTCCTGAACGCGATGGCTGCTCAGAGAGTGCTCCCTCAAAGCAAAGAGTCTCTGCTGCAGAACTACAACAAGAGACTGAAAGATGACATCAGGTCCATTCTGGACAACTTGACGGAGATTATCAAAACAGCAAAGGTACAAAGATGCAGAGCCCCTTCTGTTTTAAGTTTATCACTTCTGAAATATCGCTCACTATTTCCTGTCCTTTGCCCTCTAAACATATTTGTGATATTCTCTCCAGATAGAGGACGAGACGCAGGTTTCCCGAGCAACCCAAGCAGATCAGGACCATTATGAGATGCACGTGAGAGCAGCCAACATTGTGAGTATTGCACAAAGCACAGCTGTCCAGAATAGGCAACTGCTCAGTTGTTTTTATTTTTATTTACTTGTTAGTATTTTGTTTAGTCGGGAGAGGAAAGATGAAAGACTGCGCAGGAAAAGTCAGTTCATTCTGCTTAACTTTTAGTCCAAATGTAACATTATCGTGTTACTTAAAATACATCACATTAAATTGTATTGTATAAAATGTACAATTTGCATATATAAGCATTATGCTTCTGCCTGGGCCTTTTCAGTCATACTGTTTATGCTTATTGTGTGTGATGACTGAATATAAATACTTATTGATTGTGTTGTTGTATCAGGTACGAGCTGGCGAGTCCCTGATGAAGCTGGTCTCCGATCTGAAGCAGTTCCTGATTCTGAACGACTTTCCCTCGGTGAACGACGCCATCAGCCTCCAGAACCAGCAGCTCCGCTCGCTGCAGGAGGAGTGCGACAAGAAGCTCACCTCGCTCCGTGACGAGATCGCCATCGACCTGTATGAGCTAGAGGAAGAATATTACTCCTCCAGGTACAAGTAGGCTCATACTTGCCCCCATCCCACCGCCCCTCTCTTGTCCCATGCCCCACACCATGTACTGTCTCACATTCACCATTCACTGCTGAACCCGAGGAAGGGTTCAGTTCTTCCCGCATCTAAACCCGACACTTGTTGGCTTGAATTTATCTCATCGTCATACCCAGACAGTACCATTCATCAACACCGATCATTGCTGTGGAGAGCATCTCACTAAGTGACTTTATTGATTAGCAAGTGCCTTGAGTTCTTTCTGCTCTGTGACGTTCGTCATGATTGGACAAAGTTGAGAGGACTTTAGCATTAAAGGGGAATACAACTGAATATTAGTCGTGTAAATGTATCCAGCTGCTGAACAATCACAGTTCAACACGTACGTTTGAGAATTTAATGCAGTTTACTTATGCAGTTTGAAAGCCAGAGGGCTTGAATGGTGACGGGATGAATTTCATCATTTAGAAAAGAACGTTTGGGCATTAATTTACTGCTGGGTTTATTTCTAAACTGATCTGACTTTCTGTTGTTCTGCAGCGTTCAAGACGCTTTAGAGATGTTTTAAATAATATTGTTTGTCAGGCACATCGCATGGTTTAGTGGAATGTACGAAACGAGGCCTTTTCTCATAGTTCATTCACCACTAAAATCATTTTAATTGAAGTTACAACCAGAGTTAATCAAAATCTTAAGAAATTAAAGCACTGGGTGTTTTATTCATGGTTTAATTGTTGGATGTTTGTTAAAAGGAGTTTTGCAAAACAAAGCTTCGTAGGGAATCTACTTCAGATGAATTACAAATTGAAAGAACTAAAACTTTATCAGAATATTAGTATATATTATTTTATAGATGTATCATTATATTTATATGTAATATTCAAATCATAAATGTAAAGGTGATGAACAGTACGGTACTGTGGATGAATGCTTGGTTTAGACTGTAAAATCCGACACGACTCTTGCAGTTATTTATTCGAAGTCAAATCTGAAAGTTTCTCAAGTAGACTTTTTTTTTTTTTGTAAAAGCAGTTGGGTAATCATGTTTTTAATGATTCCGTCCTTAAGACCACAAGTGACTCGAGCTGTAACGCTGCAGGCGACATTGGTTGACACACGTGTGGTTGCACTTGTACACCAGTTTGTCCCAGCTGTTCCATTAGAACCAGAATGATTTAAGAAATAAAGTAGACAAAACACTGTAGTAGTGCGTCCTGTTTTCTGTGACAAAGTACTCACAAGTGTCTCTGTCCTGTTTGGAGCATGCTGGGTGTGGGCCTTCCTTCCTCACTGCACTCACTCTGCTTTCTCCTCCATCAGCAACTAATCACACTGTTTTGCTGAACATAAAATCAACAGTTTATAAGTAACCCCTCTAACTACAGTATCTGATTAATATACAGCTGTTTTAGGTGTTGATCCAGTTTCCAGTGCTTCTTGCATAACCTCCATGCTTCTATCGTACGTGTGCTCGTCTATGTGGATGAATGTGCTTATTCTGACCTGCTGCTCTCGTCTGCTCCTCTCTTTCTGTGCTGCGCTGATTCTTTGCCTCCTTCTGGTTTCCGCTCTGCAAAGCTACAGTCAGTGGGACAGCACTGACCTGCCACTGTACGAGGCCTACCGCCGACGAGACAGTTGGGCCTCGCCAGGCAGCAGCTGCAGCTCTACCCAGGGTGACCGGGAGGACGTGGAGGGACCTCCTTCACAGGAGACGAACCCCCAACACCACCTCAACGGACACGGGACGTCCTCTATAGAGAAGCCGTGAGGAGAAACGAGGACTCTGATAAAGCGCTTGTTCTCACTTTGTACTTCAGTGGTTTGGCTAATTTAGTTTCTGTTACACATTGTGAGTTAGTATCTGATCAGGTCTGCCACTGTAATGTCATACACTTAGGCATTGAAGAATTATTTTGCATAAACTGGTATTATAGCAAGAGTAAAATACAGGAACTAAACAAATACCTGGAAAAAGTCATTAGAATCCGAGTGATGGCCTGTGAAACGCATCAGCTGTAACATTCCCCTCATTTTAAACGACTTTCAGAATGAACTTATGAATCTGCATTCATAGATTTACTGTATATTTAAGTAAAGCCAAAAATGCAGACAACTTATTTTTTAGTGTACCTCTGCAGCAGTGGATTACCAGTATACATTTGTTTCTATTTTTAAGTTGGACTTTGAATGAGTATGTTGTGACATTTAGTTTGTAATGTTTTATATCCGTTTTGTTTTTTACTTTTAAAACACTAGTCACATTAAAGGACAACTTAAATATTGTAGTTTTACATGTTTTTATTCTTTTAAAGCCCTTCAAACAAGTATACAACTATAAGGAATAAGAAGCGAACTGCTTTCAATTCATAGCAGGAATACCACTCAATTTAACACTTAGTTTTCCTTGGTTATCAGACAATCCTGAGCCATTTAGGCCATGTGATTTCCTTTATGTGGAGTTCTCCTTAAACATGACACATCACAAAGCAAATGTACTGTTTACAGTTAACCACAAGAAGTTGTTTACAATATTTACAAAGCACTACACTGACTTGGGTTTGGTTTGAAAAAAACAGTTTGTCAAATTATCTTCATGGCTCATCTGGGGGCTTCAATCTTAATAAAGATGCATCTCAAGTTGAGTAAATTATTCTTGGGAAGAAAAAAAAAACATCCAGCTCCTCAATATCGGCGATTCATCTTCTTGAACTTCTCGTAATGGTAGTCATCTGTGGCCTTTTCGTTGTTTGGACGTTTACGGAAGTTGGCTGGTGACAAAACTGTGGAGTAACAGAAGAGGGTATAAATCAGATTATACGTTTCAGAAGAGCAGTGAGCAAATGTCGTACTATTTGAATAAACAATGTTCCAAATCAAGTCACTAATGCCTGAGAGTTTATCAAAACAAGTACAATTATATATGCTCCTGTTTTAGTGTGCTTACACCGACTGTAGCAGTGTCCTGCAGTCTACTGTTACTGAGCTGGTATACAAGAAGGACCAGTGCACAGCTGTGAACAGTCTCTTACCCTCTGGACCCGGTTTCTCCGTGTCTCCCACACGCAGCGGCCTTGCTTTGGGCTCTTCTCGGGGTCTGTGGTGCCTCTGTGGTGCGTTCACATCCTCACGATAGACTGAAAAAAGCCATTTATATATTTAACCAACATTTCACCTCTCATTACCTTCTGGTGTGCTCTCACTATTTGAAACCCAATGTTTATATATTGACAGGACTCACAGCGGTTGTGTTGGACGTAGTTGACGGCGATGTTGGTGGGTACAAATGACGTGCCTTGGTCTTTTTTCTTGTTCCTTTGTTCCGCCAGAAGCTTGGCCTTTGCGTCCTCTGTCTGGATAATGTTCTTTATCTTTGCACTGCGAAAGAAACCACAGAAGCAGGTGGTCAGTAACAGAGTTGTAAGCTAGCCACTGCCGTGTGACCAAATATTAATAATCCACAGGATCACTTTGAGAATCTCCGATACGTACTCGATGCCGAGATCGACTTCAGGGATCCCACTCAACATCTGATTGGACAACATCTCCTCTGTCTTCTTGGCGGAGTTGACTCGGATGCTCTCAGGCAGCTCATACAGGTGGTCCTCTGCATTTTTCACCTTAACTTTCTGTTCCTCGGCTTCCACCACCCCCTTCTTCTTTCTCAGCTCTGTCTCAATATATTTCATCCTGTGAGGGTAGATTCATGAAAGAAATTAGATTTTAAAATATTTCCATGAAGCCCTTTGTTAACAACTGTGAGTGAGTATCCATAACTATGTTGTGGATGTCAATCTTTTGTAATTTTAGAAATCTAAAATGTAGATATGCTCATTCAAACAAATGAAGAAAGAGGTGCTCTGGTTGAGGTGGTGATTGGGATGAACCTTTCAGCTAACTCAGGGGTCGGCAACCTTTACTGTCCAAAGAGCCATTTTGCCCTATTTCCCACCAAATAAAATTCGCCTGGAGCCGCAAAAGCTATTTGATATCACAGCTTATAAAGTTATATATACAGAAACTATAGTTTGTTGTATTTATGAAAATATAGAACAAGAATAAAGACAATTCTTGACTTTTTTTTGCAATTTTACCTGATATAACAATATTAAACTCTTATGACGAGGAGAGTTTGCTGCAGCAGCTGAGAAATCGCTCTTTTTCGCTCATCTCCAGCGTGACACTTTTCAGCAAATGCTGTGTGCTTGTTCTGGAAGCATACAGGTAAGTCAGCATCGTTGGCAGTGAAAGCAAATGAAAACGTCCACGCAGAGTTAAACTATCTATTTTCCTCCGTGACTTTTCTTTTTTTGGATTTATCCATTGATAGTTTACCGAAGGTGGGGGTCTGAAAATCATGATTAGCCACCTGCAGGGAAAAGGTAGAGGATTTAACTGCCTGTGGGAATAATTAACATATAAGATTCTGTTCATTCTTGCTTATAAATTATATTCTCTCTGAACACGTTTCTCTTTTTAGAGAGAGTCATGTGAGATAACTTCTTCGATTAGTGCAATTTCCCTGCTCTTCTTTCTATTTCCTCGTCTCTCCTCCATGTGTCACGTGTGTGTAAACCTCGCTTGAGTTAGGAAACTTGTCAGAATACCCATATTTGATTGGCTGAGCTGCATCACGTGATGTGATTTTCAATGGTCGGTGTGTTTCCTGCACCGCCGAACAAGTGCCGTAACGGCTGAATAAGAGGCGCCGGTTAAAGTTTAAACTCGGTGCCAAATATGTATAATTCCGAATTATCTATCGGTTTTTAGTTCCTGGGTCCGGATCCGGTGCGCCAGTTGGGGACCTCATGGAGCCGCAACAGAGAGGCTAAAGAGCCGCAGGTTGCCGACCCCTGACCTAACTTAATGCCAAAGAGAGTGAGGCTGTGTCTGTATGTCACAAATGAAGAAAAATAAAAAGACGTACATGTCCGCATCCTCATCTCTTCTGTTGGTTTCAGCAGAAAAGGAAGTGCCCAGGTTCAGGTCCGTCTCCTCTTCTATCCTGCATGTGGAACAGAGATCATCTGGAGTCAAATCAGCGTCAGATGTGATGACACACATGTTGCAATAACATACTAGACCAAATGCAATATGTTAATCGCACTGCGACACAATTATTAAAACAGTATGTGCTTTACTTACACGTCCCTATTCCTTTCCATGGCTTTCTTCAAGTCTATAACTCCTCCGGTCTTCAGTTTGAAAGGGTCATTCTAGAAGAGAGGTTTTATTTTAACAACGATGAATGAAACCAAATAAACACACACACACAAACGGTTAATCTAAACAAATACAAATTATAAACAGGTCACTCACATCAGTTTCAGCATCTGGTGGCAGTTTCTCCCCAACCAACAGGGCGGTCACACTGAACAAAAAGGAGATACCCATTTACATCTCTGTTTCATAAGTCTATTGAAACATGTTCATAGCTTGAGAAACACGTTTAACATGCACGTTACCTGACTCCGGTCTGTCGTTTCCGCAAACTCTGTAGCTCCTTCGCTTCTTCTACTTTTGATCTAAACGACAAAGAAATACACGTAAATTATAAATGGCATAAAACAAAACAATAAAATACAAAGACACAAAGTCCGTTGATACACAGCAAGTTAGTTTTTAACGGATGTAGCTGTTGGCTACCTTAGCTAACATGACGTTGATCTAACGTTAGCTAGTGTTTTGTTCTCGTTGTGTCTTACCTGACTTCTCTAGTCGTCTCATCCTCCTCCACATCTGACGAGTTCCTTCTACGTCTGAAGTTTTTGCCAGGCGGCATATTTAATGCAGTTTAACGTTATTTCGAAAAAATTGCACTTGACGATAGCAGATGGTCGGATTTTGAGGGGTGAAGTCAAGCAAACGCACAATAATACACGTCACTTCCGGTGTATTAAGTAACCAAAACAAACATGGCGACTTACAGGCAGGTCGGCAGGTTGTTGGGTGTTTCAGCGAGGCTTTCACGTTCGTAAGTTAAACTGTCTGTCATGTGTGAGGTATCGATGTCCTCTCATTTTACTTTTTTAATGCTTGTACTGATGCATCGACCTCTCAAGTAGCGTTACAAGAGGTCGACCGACGTTAACTGTTAGCGGCTAGCTAGCTAGCTAAGTTACAGAGTGACGCACAAGGACTATTAGTTATTATAGCAGCATGGTGTAATGAACGTGTCTTTTACTGTTTTAACTATTAACACCTGAGTCACACAGATATCAAAGTGTTTTGACAATGTTCAATTAATGCCATACTATAAACTAACATTAAATAACTAACCTACACCTATAAGTCAAATTCTAGTTGTGGCCTTTCTCAGTAGCTAGTTAGTGATCTACAGCCTTGAGTCCAGATGTGCATCTGCTTAAAGTCTGTGAGGAAATAACAAGCTGCCACTAGTACTCGAGCGGATTGAGATATTGTCACTGACAGAACTCTTCAGTGTACCTTTTGATTTTATATGTGGAGTTGTTTTGTTAGAAAATAAACCTGATTACATGTCAAAATGCTCCCTCCAATGATTTTTAGAAGTGGGTTTTTCGTAGTTACTTTGCTGATACTGTTGTATGCAGTGTCTTCTATCTGATGTAAAGCTGTGTCATTCTTGTACATTTTTGTATGACAAACTAGTAACTTCCATTCAAATAATCATGTGACTTCTCATAACAATTGGCTGGATGTATACCAAATTTATAATACCATATAGATATCTAGGTCAGGGCTGACACATAGAAGCAGACAATCATTCATACTCTCATTCACACAATTGGGCAATTCGAGTCACCAATTAACCTAACCTGCATGTTTTTAGAAAAGAAATGTTCGACACCAGAACTTTCTTTGAGGCGACAGTAACAAATCACTGCAACACTTTGCCACACAAATAAGATGATAGATATGCCATGGTGTATATCTGGATGTATTTTAATGCCAGTAACCACAACATTCTGCATTTTGCCAGATAAAGGTGCTTTACAATAAATGCTAATTTATGTAATTCAGTCAAAACACAGACGTGTATTGTGACTTCTCCTTGTCAATTGTTTTTACACAACTGATTCCTCTTTGAATCTGTAACTCCCTCCTACGTGGTAGTGAGGAAATGAAAAAGGCTTGCATGGACAGTGAATATTCAGTTTTTAGCAGCATACATTTGTTACTGAAGTGTGTTTTTTGCTGTAGTAACCTTTGGAATCTCTCTTTTGTGGTCTGCAGTCTCGCAGTCAGTGGCTATCAGAGCGCCGGTTTACACTGGCCTTCACATAACACAGCAGTCCCAAACAGATGGCCACAAAACCCCCATTGGGTTGTTCCTGGTTTGTATCCCTGCAGCATCCTTGTAGCCGTCAAACTAGGAAAACACTATATATGACTAATGTTACATTCTTGTCTTCATGTTTTGTCTCCTTCCAGGAAGGACAATGTTTGTGCAGACCCAGGACACACCAAATCCAAACAGCCTAAAGTTTCTGCCTGGTCGCACAGTTCTTGACTCAGGGACTATGGATTTTGCCAGCCCTCGTGACGCTCACACCTCAGCCTTAGCCAGGTATATGACTTCTTAAATATAGGGTTACTGAATGGAGAGTAATTCATTGATTTCACTGCAGGCATTTTGATACACAGTAGCAGGAAAAGCACAGCTTTAAATGATAATATTGATGTTTGCTGTGTTCCCGGCATCTCACTCCGAAATTGAATGCAGCCTTTATAATTAATAGTTGCATTTGTGTTTGGTAAGATTTTTTTCACCTGCCATACCAGTTGCATGAGAACCAAAGCAACATCTACACTCACAAAATAAGAAATAGCAAAGACTTCTGTGTGCTGCTCAGGTTGTCCTTGATTCCAATGCCTTTAAATGTGTGAAGCAATGCACAATTAGATTCTGTTTCTGCGGTTGCTTGTTTGAGTGTTTGCATCTAATTGAGCTTAAAAGCATTCTTTGTTCTCTACTGTATGTGCTGTAGTAAATAATATCTTAGATTAGAAGTTGTTGAAACAGCTGTTTAAACGTTTGGAGTCGCCTGTTATATTGATGTTTTTCTTCTTTTACTTCAATCATTTTTTTGTGGACCTGACACTGAAACAGGTACTTGTACTTGTTCCCAATCTGCACAGATTTTGATGTTAAGCTTCCAGTTTCTTTTACCAGTGACTGGTAATTCTATTCTTATTTATCTGTTGTTCAGAGAGATCTTTGTCTCTTTCTGCACTTTCAATTGTCAGTCTGGTTGAACCATTGGACAGCATTTTGTTCTCCATGTCCATGTTTTTTGCAAACCGTTCCTACAAAATAACATCCATTTGTAAAGAGGACTGTCTGCAACCTAAAACCATGAATGACATTTCAAAAAGTGTAATAGACATGGTGCAGAATAATTTGTCAGGATACTGAGATTTTAACTTCGATGCAATGCCTTGGAAAAAAATCGATATTCAATACACAGGGAAAAATTGTCACAACATTGAGGGCATAACATTTTAAATTTTTATTAAAAGGTAAATATCAGTGTGTGTGTGTCAACTTGTTGTTGGAGAGAAGAGAGAGCAGAAAGCGCAGCTGGTATCTGTGTATCGATTCTACAGAAAATGAGTATTGAAACCGTTTCAAATATTCAGTGTGCAACACGAGTGCACAGATCATTTCTTTCTGTTTTTAAGCACAATATTTATTTTTGGTTTGATTAGTATAGCCTTGTTTTAAGTGTCAAATAACCTTGTGTTTCATTCCAAATGTAAAAAAAGGTTCAGTAAAGTTCTGTGTTGTCTTCAGACAGCTATTTAGGATTGAGGGAGTCAAGAGTGTCTTCCTGGGCCCAGACTTTATCACCATATCACGGGTAAAACCAGGTCACGTTTACATGAACCTCATAGTGAAGCACATTATATTGCCATTGTTTGCAACAGCTTGTTTCCTTTCTGTCTCCGTTTAGTCTGATGA